TTTACCATCTTTGTCCCATCAGTTTGCTCCTCAGTTTTTACATCTTTGCGACATATTTGCCAGCAGGAGCAAATTTGTGCAAATCCATTTTTTTTGTCGAGGCTACCCTCGCCTTATCACCTCTCGCTATCCAATTTTTGTAATTACTTCTAGTTATTAATTAATTAATTAATATTTATTGCTTATAGCGCGCAAATTAACATTCGAATATGATCAAATGCGCGTTACATCTAAGATACCTAAAACTATAAACAAAAGCAAAAGAAAACTATATACATCATATAAAAAAACTAAAATAATTAGATAAAATTAACAGAAAGCCATACGAAACAAAAAAGTCTTAACCTTAGTTTTAAAAGTGTTAAAACATGTCTCGTGTCTGATTTCACGAGGGAGTTATCACTGTTTCTTAATTTAACGGTTCCTTTTCTTAACTGGTATCAGAACATATATCCGTTTCTTTTTCATCATAAAAAAATCTTAATGTCTTACCTCCAAATTCACCATAACAAAGTTTTTACTAAAATCTGCAATTTCCTGCGACTCCGCAAATGCTGGCTTTAGTGCTGCAAAGGTTATATTAATGGTGGGTGAGATCAGTTTGTTCAATGTTCCAACGTTCTCTCTTTCACTCTGTTTGTGAAAGAGGCTACAGCAAATTCAGTTTAATATAGTGGAGAATATTATCAAGATTACCTTTACATGCCCCACACCAAGTCTTGTGAATAAGCAGCATCAATGGCTTATTGCTGTCGACAGAAGAAAAACAAACGTAAGATTGGTATTTTCAGATCTAACATGGCCGTATTTATGCGTCGTTACGTGCGTCCTGTTTTTATACTAGACGTCTTGAACGTCTGAGACGACTAATTCATCTGTTAAGTACGATCGGACCCACTTAACTTCGGACGTATTCGTCTGACGTTTAACGCGTCTGCCATGCTTCCCGTATTCATATATACTAACTAGACGTCTTAAATGTCTCAGACGTCTTAGACGTCCTCTAGTATAAATACGGCCAATGTTGATAAGGATCGTTTGATTTTGTTTGTTTGTTTTTCTTTTACCTATAGCCTCCATAATCAAACTAGCAAGTCTTTCGATTGACAACGCGAACGGAACGTTTTTTACTGGCTTACTTACCAGCTTACGGGTATGGGTTGTTCTGGTTAGCCGAAACAGTAGAGAAGAAGAGAAACAAAGTAAACAAACAAAAATTAAAACTTGCTTCGGCGCTTCATATTCAGTCATTTCTATCAAAGAAAACCTCTAAGTAATAATGACCTGCAACTGAACTGACGGAGATCCATTATTAGAAAATTTAACTATCATACGAAAAAAAGATAGAAAACAACCTCTCACCCAAAAGAAAGAAATGGTTTAATGAATGATGGTTGCAACCTGTTTTTTGGCAGTTCGGAGCGTTCCGGCAAAGAATAAATCTTCTCATACAAAGCGTGATTATTGAGAAAATAAAAGTAAATGAAAATGCTTCATTGCGGCTCGAGGTTTTTTTCTCTCTGGCTGGAATGCAGTTTAGTCGCTTTTAGTATATTAAAACGGTGCGGTCACTTTCACCATGCTTGCAAGCCGCTGTGTCAGACTGAGAAGTTAATAACAATTTAATAACACGTGATTTGGAAAAGTTGTTCCACAGTTTGAAAATTAGAACAGAAAGCACCAATTGCCTATTTCTTTTAATGGCCTTCTGCTTTTGCCAGTTTCTACAACCAATAAAGACTGACAATTCACTATCGATCCTTTGATACAAGTAACTTAAGAAAATGACCACTGAACACTGAAACGGCTCATGTTGAAACGATTTAATCTCTAAACTTGCAAATTAGGCTTTACTGGGCAGCGAGTGAAACATGCAATTATTTTTGCCGGATCATGTGAGCTGTAGATAGGTCCATGTTTAAATCTTGAGTGAAAACGAGCACTCATTTTGGCTCTTAACTTCTTACCGGATTTCAAAAGCCGGGCTATCACAGAGCGTATTGAAATATTTTATTGTTTTAATTTGAACCTTTATATTTAAATATCGATTTATAGTTAACTTTTACCTCTTTTTAGCTTCTTCTAAACCATCTTGGAGCGTTTTCCATTCGATCTTCTCCCCCCAGCCTATAAAATTCGACACATTGTGAATGGAGAATTTTTAAACTGTTTTCAATGTTTAAATTTAAAATGATTTTCTCAACCAACATACAGACACGTACCTCTATCAAGTGGCTCCTCTGGTTCACAAAGAACAAACAAGGCTAAATTGGAAAGAACTAAAGCGATGTATTTTTTTGTATTCATGATCTCTTCAGCTCAAAACAACTCCTTTTCGTGGTGTGGTTTGTGCGAAGAAGAAATCCCTAATACCTTCAGTGGCAAAGACAATATTACTTTCTACCACCTGTTTGAATGCCTGGTTGTCCCATTGCAAAGTGGAACAAGGGACTGAAGGCTCACAAAAAGGCGGCCGGTAGCACGTTCTTGTTCATCAATAATTTAACGAGTCTTTTTAATTAAAATATGAACACCGGAAATTGTTCGTTAAAGTCCTGAAGTGTAAGTGCATGGAAAGACGTCTGGTTTCTTCTAGCTAGTTTAGTTTTGATTTCAAGTATAAGTAAAGAAAGACCGCGAGCCCCGACGACGATGGCAGGTTTTAAAAAATCTGTCAACATCACTAAAAAAGCGAATCTTGTTCTTTCTTACGTACTTTTTAGCGAATATGATTTTTCCGGGCTAAAGTTGAATTGCTGGGGAATTTGTCCAAATTCAATGTCGTTGAGAGAGGGAAAGAAAATGTACAAGATTATAGCTTGCAATGAAAGAAGAAAGGTGCCAAAAATGTGCTAGGTTTCCTCAGCTTATAATTAAAAACTTCGGATAGTATAGTGTTTGACCTCTCCGAGGCATCGTACAGTTTTTAGCCTAAAAGTAGTTGATCACTTAAAATTGTATCAAAAAGTACTTTTAAAAACGCCCAAAAGCCGAAAAGAGGCCGGCCACAGTCTGAGGCACACTGTACCGGACAACTTTTGTGCCGCCAAGAAAATCATACCGGATAGGGCTACTCTTCACACACCAATATGGTTGCGGCGGCGCGATTCCTGTGACGACCAACGAAGCTGCGCTCGCCGCTCTCTAAAGCGGAGAGTCACATATCGGATAGGTGTGCATACTATACTGCATAGCCACGAAAAGCTATAGTGCCCAAGCAGGGCGTAATAAGCTAGGGCGTTGAAACGCTCATACGCGCTCTCTTGGACTGCGAATTGCCCAACATAAAGATAGACTGCCATAAGTCTTTTATCAGTCAGTAGATTCCAGGTTCCAGATTCCAGAACTGGAGAGAGTGGAAGAGGCGAATGGGAACTGGGGAGAGGCGAACATGATCCGCGCGGGTCTCCGCTCGGCAATCCTTGTGGTGTAATACAAAGAAGCAAAAGCTGACGTTTCGAGCGCGAGGGCCATCGTCAAAACGAATCAGTTTATTCGGTTAGGGACAATTTTGTGGATTGATTGTGGTCTATAAAATAAATAATACAACCACATTTTGATTGCGGACAGCGTGATAATAAAAATTAAATTTAAAAAACTAGTCAAATGAAAAAGCACTCTCTGATTCCGTGGAGATCTAGACTCGAGGGAGCGTGAAATTTCACCCATTTTAAGACAAAGTCCGTTTATTGAACTAACCTGTTTGCGTCAAGAGACCTAATTCTCCGACTCTGATTCATTCCGTTCCAAATACACATAAGGTATTTTTTTAACTGACACTATGGTATTAAGGGGTTACTGTGGTCACCTGTTGCGTCGAAGCGGGAGTGAAATCAATTTTTGATGGAGGCAAATTAATGGCAGATAGGTAGATAGACTTGGTTTTACTTACTCAATCAAAAAGCTAGACTGGCCCGGAGATAGCCGGAAGATGAGGTTTTGAACGCGCGCTACTAAGTCGTACGTCAGAGAGCGAATCAAGGGAATGTGGTTTGTGTGTTGTTTATATGACTGAGCTTAGAGCTATCAGGGGGATCTTCAAGGGTGGAAACGGTTAGATGTCATGTAAAGATAATGAAGAAGTTTCCTAAATTTGTCTTTTGGAATATCTTTAGATTGGAGGAAACGGCCGATGAAATTGATGTAAATACAGTACCTAGTTTCGGCGAAAATGAGAGTCATGTGCCTAGACGGAGAGTTAAACTGTTAACTTTTTCCAAAAGAAAAAAAGTGGTTGGCACCACACGTGTAGACCGCTCGTCTCGAACGTTCACACCCTTTTCTAGGCTTCAGGTCCCGGAACAGAAATCGATTTTAATTTTGCTCACTTTTTTTTTCATCTTCTTCCTTTGTTTGATTCGAGCTATTTCTGTAATTCTCCCGGTACCAATAAACGGTTAGTCGCTATGTTTTTGAAGCTCAACTATATTCTTTTCAGATTATTTTCTTGAAAGCTTGGATATTCCTTTATTGGTGTTCCTTTCCACGGTTTTCAACTTTAGACAGGAACCAGTAAGGGAAAATCCGTTGGCACCAATGAAAAGAGCATCTTAGTAAAATTAGTAATATTTAATAAATTGCAAAGTTTCAAAGTGATAGCCAGCGAGCGCAAAAATGCCAAGTTAGTGCCCCCCCCTCCCCCCTCCCCCCTCCTACCACTATACGACGCCTGTAAAGTATGACTTTGAGGAGTTATATCTTCGTTAGTATTCAGCAAATCACTTTGAAACTTGGCAATTGTGCTAATTTAAAGCCCTTTTTGTAGCGGAGTTGACGAATTTTCCCTTTGAAAAAAGCCGTGGAACACAGCCTTTCACAGAGGCTGCGTTACCACTGTCCAGCGGAAAATATACTTAGTCAGCATGCGCACGCGCTGTCTTGCGTAAGAAAAATCTCGTGCGACTTGTGCGAGTACTTGCAGCCTTGCATCAGATAGATATCAAACGTAAAACAACGTCCTACAGTGTACATTTGTCAAGCCAACCCTAAAAAATTGAAAAATGTGGTCTGCAGTAACAACAGCTCGTTCATCGCTCAAGCACCTTGCTCGTGCTGTGCGGCATACGCCGTCTATGAGAAGCTTTGGATCGGTAACTAACCAGGTAAAGTGGTTCTGACACCGGTTCTGCTACGGTCAGATTGATATTAGCAGTGATTTGAGAGTTTACGAAGGGACTGACAACCCTGCTCTCCTCTGTTACAGAGACTGATCACGGAAGATATCCTCTCCAGGAATGGTGCCTTGAAATCTCGGTTTTACAGGTGAGATCGATTGCCGTTATGTAACATGTGCCAGGTTTTCATATTGGAAGCGAATCTACACGTGGTTTGTTCTATCATAAACGTGTTCGTACGCTTCGATAACATTGAGAACGACCATATTATGTTTCACGGAAACACGAAACATTATATTCAGTGTTTTTTTCAATGTTTCATGAGCAATTACACTTTACAGTGCGCCTTTGCAGTTCAAAAAATAAATTACCTATACAGAATTTAAAAGGCACACTGCCTTATTACGCATGGCAGATGTACGAATAAACTTTATGTTTCCGATGCTTGAATGTTATGTGGTAGCATGACATACAAATGCATAGTTCGACTTTAACTATTGAAGTACATGTAGCACATCTGAAAACGTTGTCTGTCATGCCACTAAAGCTACATTTTACATAGCCCATTCATGCATCTCTGAATTCTCTGAAGGTCGTAAAATGATCTTTTCACTCCAAAAAAAGTTAATTATCAAATTTTGGCATTGATTACAGGCGTAGTTAATCGATATCGATCGATATAATCCACTGATTGTTATTTATTTATGACTCAAATCAATAGAATCATAGTCACAGAAAAAATAATTTATTGATTATGATCAATTAACAAAAATCGATAATAACCAACAGTAATCGATAGTAATCAGTAAAAAGCAATTATTATTTTGATGTATATGGTTTAGATTCATGTACTCTGAACAAACAACACTGACAAGACCGGTTACTTGTCCATACAGTTTCAAATAATGTAACACACAAGGTACAGCAAATGATTTCCTTGTTTATTTTAGCAAATCACTAAAACGCCGGAAATGAATGTGTCTATATTTGAGGTCAAACGTCTGATCTGATCAGCACTGGAGATCAAATTCTTTGAACTATATTTCTTGCAACCTGTATTAGACTGTCACCCTGTATTAAGCGGTCACTTAGCCATTTCTGAGGCTGACTCCTTAATACAGGTTCAACTGTAGATCTCTACGTGTCCATTAAATCCTGTGCCATTGACTGCACCTTGCATTTCTTTCCTTGCCATCTTGCTCACACTGGAATCCAATTCAACGCAGTATATACAGGGGCATTGAAGTCCTCCAGATCACTGCCATCTTTTGGCATAAGGGGTCATACTTTGTTTGGCCAAAGCTGTTATTTCACTGTGTATACAAATCTTTTTAGTTTTTATCAATTAACAGAACTACATAATGTCACCACTGAATGACTCAATAGTACCGTAGAGACAACATTGTGTTAATGTTGAACTTCTACTGATAACCTACAATGTAAGTGTTTTCTGATAATAATCAATAGTGATCAATGACAATCAGTAAGTCAATCATTATCAAACTAATTGATATTAATCAAATTCACAACTTTTTCTTTGTCGATTTCTATCAATTGATATCAGAAATCGAATGAATCAAACTATCTGATGTTATTGGTTTATTGATTAACTACAACTGGATTGATTGTTAATCAGCTGGTCAAAGTTGATGAAATTGGCTCTGGCTGTCTATCCAAAAATTGTTTTATTTGATGGGTTATCCTTTCAAGATACTGTAGGACTGTTAAAATTCATTCATGTTAAATTCATTTAATTCATTGCTTGGCTGTTTTGTCTTTTGTGACATCAGCTCTGAAGCAGTCCGTGGCGCAGTTTGTGGTATTGATCTTGGAACAACAAACTCCTGTGTGGCCGTAATGGAAGGAAAGACACCTAAAGTATTAGAAAATGCAGAGGGATCAAGGACCACTCCCTCTGTAGTGGCTTTTACCCCTGATGGAGAGCGACTTGTTGGCACTCCAGCCAAAAGACAGGTTAATGCAAAACCAATGCATGTATTTTTATAGTGTGTTTGAAAAATGATGTCCAGTGTTCATTTTATGTTGCAATTGTTATGGACATGTATTCTTGTTGTCCCTGATATGGACATGCTGTAGACCTACATGTACACATTAAGTAGCTGTTACAATGTGCACATAAAAGGCGTCATTTTACATGTATATCACCTGTATCACAAGCTTGAACTAACTTTATTAAGCATACCCAAATTCTTGTCTTAAATATTTATTCTCTAATATAATCCTATATAGTTGTGCTATAGAAATCGTGTAATTACATAATTTTAAGTCATAAAACTTTAGCTTACGTGTACAGGGTGTCAATTGTTGTTGTTTATTATAACTGTATTTTAATGTTTTAACTTTAATGTAAATTATTTGTTCTTAGGCTGTAACAAACCCAACAAATACATTGTATGCAACCAAGAGATACATTGGACGACGATTTGATGACAAGGAAATAAAGAAGGACGCGTAAGTACTATTTCTTATTAAAAGATATTTCATCCAGTGGTTTCATGTCTATGTTACAGTTCAAAATTAAATTCAGCTTAAAATTTTTTTACCTGGGTTGATTCTCAATTTCCATTTGCTTAAAGCCCTAATTTGTGAATTATTAGAGGTAGGAGACAAATAAAGTGAGAATCAACCTACTGCAGGTTGAAAATTTTAACTTGAATATAATTTTGACCTGTAACAGATATTTATTTTTTTCAGAGAATTGAGTCTGTAGTTGCATGACCATACACTATGAATTTTGATTTTGTTTTTCTTGTGCGGTCTATTTTCAGGGAAAGTGTGTCCTTCAAGATTGTAAAAGCTTCTAATGGTGATGCCTGGTTTGAAGCTAATGGCCAGATGTACTCACCAAGCCAAGTAGGAGCTTTTGTTCTCATGAAGATGAAGGAAACAGCTGAGAGCTATTTGGGGACAACTGTCAAGAATGCTGTCATTACAGTTCCTGCATACTTCAATGATTCTCAAAGACAGGTTTGTACGGTATTAGAACTAAACAAACGGTGCTGTTGCACGTAATTAAAAAAAAAAGGTGTGTTCTTATACAGTGTAATTAGAGAAGTTAATAAAATGCAATCAATTGCCACTTTTTGCTCCACAAGTGTGTACACTTGCTTGTATGCAATTGGTAAAAACAGCCTATCAAAACTGTTAATTAATAATATTAATAAATATTATTATTATTATTGACAATTTTAATCTTTTTATTTAATCATCTATAGCTTGGCGTCAGTTCTACTGTATCCTTAATGACAGTGCCATTTTTGCAAGTTGTCAGTTGATGATTATGTTGATATATGATTGATAGACACATGAGTAACCAGGTATTCTTTTATGTAGGCAACCAAAGATGCTGGCCAGATTGCTGGTCTGAATGTACTGCGAGTGATTAATGAACCAACAGCAGCTGCCTTAGCCTACGGAATGGACAAATCTGAAGATAAAATGTAAGTTGACATTACATACATGTAAATCAATCATGTGCGTAAATGTACTTATGTCATTCTATGCACAGAACAAAGTGGTGTCATCAATTTACAAGTACTTTTAAGAATTCATAATCAGTATCAAAAAGTGATTTTTAAATGTGAGGAAAATCATTTATTTGTGGCCGTGGTTTCTATACGTAAAATGCAACAGACTGACATGGTAAAAAAATTTAACTGGTATAAAGGATAGTTTTTTCATAACCTCCTGATTGTGGATTAAAGGGCTGCCTGGAAAAAGAGTCTCAGGTAACTTCATATAAACCGCAAATATCCTACCTCCAAATTGCCTTGCAGCTGCTTGTGAAACAAAAATGTAGAAGTCTAGCAATAATAATAATTATTGCTAGACTTCGTGAGAGTTACATAGGGTTTTTCCCCAAGTATCCTTCCAGAGATAAACTGAAGTAATTAATCCAATTTTTCCTTGAGCTTTGCCAAAAACGAGACCTGTGTGGTTGTTCTTACGGTATGTAAGTCTCCTTACATGTAAGTCCTCTTTTTCCCAAAAAAACAAGTGTATCTTGAAGTGGATTGATTTTTGGCATTGAAGTGTTTCAGTACATGTATATGTAACTATGGGTGCTCTGTAGCTTATCAAATTGTGATTGAGTGATGTATTTTTTATTTAGAATTGCAGTGTATGATCTTGGTGGTGGTACATTTGATATCTCTATCTTGGAAATTCAGAAAGGAGTGTTTGAGGTATAACCAGTTTTCATTCTGATGCAACTCCAGGCATAAGCTTTTTGATATTTTTAATCATTGTTACATTAAGGCCTGTGTATAGCCTAGTGTAGTACATGTATAAAGAATTTCAAGTTAATTCAGTTGAGCTACATGTACAGTTACAAGTGCATTTCATTGATAAACTAGAAATACATCGTAAGAACCATTCTAATGTTCTGTTATCAGCCCCTTTACTCAATCCACTCAATTCTATGTAAGTTTCTATGTACATGTAGACCACAAAGTTTGAATACATTGTGTGCAGTGGCAACAGCAGGTTAACAGGATTTCCTTTTGAATAAGGTGGGGATACATAACATCTTACAAAATAACATGGACACCTTAGGTCAAAAAATATTTCTTACCCTAAAGAAAATGAAACAATATTATTTTATATACATTTATTTTTTCTTTTTTACTGATTTACAGGTGAAAGCCACAAATGGTGACACATACCTTGGTGGAGAAGACTTTGATAGCACTATTCTCAAGTACCTCATATCAGAATTTAAGAAAGAGGTGACAATCATTTGAAACTTTGTGAGCTTTGAGAGAAAGAAAGAAATTTTTGAATTTACTGAATTACAGTACTTGTTTTAAAATTAAGATACTCAAGATTTGTATTCCTGAACTCATACTTAAAAGAAACAGCTTCATTATTCCCCATTTACGTTGTACTTTTTTGGTGTGGACATTTCTGTTGGTCCAGAAATCATGCTGTCTCTTCCTGTTTGACCCAGTAACCTCTATGTGCCCACATCCCTTTAAAATTGTATTCCTTGTACATTCTATAAACTTGTATATTTGTACATGTATTCCTTTATGCTCGACACTGCCCAAAATGCAAATTTCAAGAAAATACAGGCATTTTTTTATGCAAAAAAATGAAAAGCTAGTAAGACCTTGATAAAAATGTACTGCTTAAGGTTGCACCTAAATGTATGCACCATGAAGAATGTAAAATATGGCAATATGCCCCATGTCTGGGTCCCCATGTCACCCAAACTGGGAACCATTAATGGTAGTGTTCAGAATGAAAGTTGTTCATTTACATTGTAAAGAAGACAATGTTGTGGATTATAGAGGATCACATACTCAGTATGTTGGGCAACTTTCATAACCAATATGCATGAAAGACTTAACTAATACAAAATTCATGTGAATTGTTCTGTTCCAAATCCTAGAGTGGTGTTGATTTGTCCAAGGACAACATGGCTCTTCAGAGACTCAGAGAAGCGGCAGAGAAAGCAAAGATTGAATTATCAGCATCTGTGCAGGTAACTTTATCTACATTTTGATTCCATTTCACTCTCGACTGATAATAAAAAGGCCAATGTCATACAAATAAATTGCACATAGTCTCAACAGCACCATGGTGTAGAAGAAATCAGCTCTGATTTCAGTTATTTCTTGCAGAGAATGAGAGGTTACAATAAAATCAATTATTGTATCATATAATTAACATAAACACAAGTACCAGTAGTCATTTCCAAGAAGTGCTCTGTCAATTTACTTTGATTTTTCATCCCTTATGATTTCATGGAGACTTAAATTAATGGTAGTACATGTAGTAAGTACAATATTTATTGTAATCATCAGCAGTGTAGGGAAGTGCAGTGCTGCAATGCCTATGGCCTGTACCGTACTGGTTGGAGTTGGAGAAGCCAACAGTATCAAAAGGGATAGTGGAATTAAAATTCTTGTGTGTAGATGCCCTGCGTCAAGATACTTGTATATAACATGAGACTGGTATATCAGTGGACGCCTGAAATACAATAATTAAATTTCCAGTAACTTGTGGTCACTAGACTGCTTTGAAAGTTGCAGGGAAAAATATAAAAGTATTACAAAAGGATAGTGTACTAGATGAACCTCTGTTTTGCTTCTGTAGACAGACATTAATTTGCCGTATATCACAGTGGATGCCAGTGGTCCAAAGCACTTGGCTATGAAACTCACTCGAGCCAAGTTTGAATCCCTGGTTGCAGACCTCGTACAGCGGACAATAGAGCCATGCAAGAAATGTCTGCGAGATGCTGATATCAATAAAAGTGACATAGGTGATGTTTTGCTGGTTGGTGGAATGACACGGATGCCCAAGGTATTTTTGGTTTTGTTGCCTTTCACTGGACAAAAAAATGGATTTGCACCAATTTGCTCCTTGCAAAATATGTCGTAAATTTGTAAAAACAGAGGAGTAAATATGGGGCAAAGATGGTAAATGCCTAGATATTTATGCCACCCTGTTTTTTGGTAGCCATATTAATTTTTGACTCCTCCATTTTAACAAATTTGCGACATACTTGCAAGGAGCAAATTTGTGCAAATCCGATTTCCAGTCCAGTGTTTTTAAAACAGTTGGCAGACATTCTGCAACACCACCACTGGGTTCACCATGGAATGACAACTGGGTGGTGACATGTCATCAGTGTAGAATTTCTGCGTTCCTTCCTCAGATGTTATTTCACAAGGAAATCAATGCCAGGTGTTTTCTAAGGCTGTTAGTTTAGTTGTGGTTAGAATTAAATTTTATTAACCAGATCATGAGTCCTGCAATTTTTTTTATTTTATATATACTGGTAATAATATTAAAAATATAAATATAGGATTGTTGTTCAGAATAATTTTCTTCAGTCAGGGCCCATGTACAGTTGTAACTTGTGGTATTAGGCTAACACTAGTCACCAATAGCAACATACTTGTAACCACATGAAATTCCAAATAATACTAATTTTTTATTGACATTTTGAAGTTGTTTTACGCTTGTTTTCCTTTTGTTCTAAACAGGTGCAGTCAGTGGTGCAGGAAATCTTTGGTCGATCACCAAGCTTCCGACAGTTGGGACTACTTCGACAACGACAGCCGCGACGGTAAGTCCCTCCACAGGACAGACCACTACAGTTCCTACACAACGACAACCTACACTGACCACTATCACTTGGTATTGAGACACTTGGTGGGGTGTTTACAAAACTGATTACACGCAATACAACCATTCCCACCAAGAAAAGCCAGGTACTCAAATGAAAAATTAATGTGAATTGATTTTATAAGCCTCATACATGTACACCGTTGACAGTACCCTCTACAGTTAACTCCTTTTCTTATTAATGGACACTGAACTACAGTGTATATGAATGCCACCTTCTTAAAATGCATGCCTAGTATTACTTGTAGTTCTTACCACTCTTTATGCATTGTAGTTTTCTTTGGCTTTCCCTGAGGAAGACACCTTCCTACATGTAAGACAGCCATATAGTGTCAATCACAGTGGTGATTATCGTCATGTAAAAAGAGTTAACTGCATTTGTATTTGAGAGGTACATTTACACCTGAACTGCTGAGGTCTTTGGGTGGTTTATCTTTGAAGGGGATTTAGTGTCCTATTGTTTTTCAGCCTTATATATGTTACACATACTTCAGTTCATAACAATTTTGATGTACAACTTGTGCAGCACCAGAGAAATCATTCACAGAACAAGGACACTAGAAAGAAAAAGATACAATGTAAATGTCAAGCTTGCTTGTTCTTTTCTCACAATTATTTTTTTTCTGTGCATACCTGAAAACAAAAGTTGTACTCTTTTACCAAGGAAGAATGTGAGTGGACAACAATGCTTACATAGTTTTGAGTCTAATAATAAAGTCAGTGAAGAATGATGGACAGAAAGTATAATGACTTGAGTTGCTTCAAAAAGCATCAATTTTTCAGTGATAATTCTGGGGAAAAATAGGTGAACCTAAAGCTTATTTATCATTAAAGTTCCTAATGCTGAGAAAATAATTGAAGTTTAGACATTTTCACGTTGTTTTATTCCAGGTGTTTTCTACAGCAGCTGATGGCCAGACTCAAGTGGAAATTAAAGTTCATCAGGGAGAGCGTGAAATGGCTGCTGATAATAAACTGTTAGGACAATTTCAACTGGTGAGAAAGCTGATTTACTCACTAAAAACAACCATGCTGATTTAACCCAGCAGTCTACAGCACTGTAAAAGTCACTTGCTGATGAATTCAAGCAAAAGTAACATACATGTCATTAAATGTACTGTGCTAGCCTGAGGAAACGGCCAACATTTCGCGACATCACCACTTGTTTCCCAGCAAAATGATGTCTGAGGAATGATTGTAGAAATTCCATTCTGATGACATGTTGCTACCCAGATCTGGGTAGTGCTTCTGATTTGTTGAAGCAAATTTCCCTCAATGCATGACCAATCAGAAGTACTACCCAGGCCCCGGTTGTTCAAACGTTGGATAGTGCTATCTACTGGATAAGTATTTGGGAGACCAATTGCATTATTTCACTGGATAGAGATTTATTCATCGGATAGTGCTATCCACATTTTGAACAACTAGGGCCTGATCTACATAATGTAGGTCGTGACATGTCATCATTATGCCATTTCTGCAGTTATTCATTCTGCAGGAAAATGTGGTGGCACCTTGAAACAGTAGGGCTATAGATGTACAAGTAGACTGATGGAACGAAACCCCGTAACATTTTGACTTAATACTTAAAAGACTAGCGAAACCAATAATTAGAGTTGAATACTATAAAGGGAAGATAAGCAACCTCTCTATGACTTGGGTGTCAACCTCCATGCAGTAGCCATCCTGTCCAGTACCAAACTCTCCAAGTTGATCAAATTAAACCTTCATGTACTTAAAACAATCTTAGTTGTCATTTAGAGGTTGTGTAAAATTCACTATAAATATGCAGTAATACAAAACAACTTTGCCTTTCCTGTGGTTTTGACACGGCTCATTACAGGTTGGAATTCCTCCTGCTCCACGTGGTGTACCACAAGTAGAAGTGACGTTTGATATTGATGCTAATGGCATTGTCAATGTGTCTGCAAGAGACAAAGGAACTGGCAGAGAACAACAAAGTAAGATAATTAGTATTGTCATTCATTGCAAATTTTTCTTCCTTTTCACTGGCTGTGAGCCCACCACATGACCTGTAAACAACTGCCTTCAATTAATGGTCTGCTCATGCGCAATGTTTTCCAACTTTGCTTGGCTGCAAATAATATTCTGCTCATGCGTAAATGAAACCACGCTTTTCTTCTTCTTGCGATCGCTCTTGCATGAAAATGGCAGATCGCTTCGCTTCCTGAAGATATTCACTAAAAAAACATACTCGGTGATCAAATGATAAAACAATTATTGATCTCGGTTATTGCAAAATATCGTGATTTGTCAGTGCCGTGCAGATGAATTATTTGCCGAAGCTGAAACCTCGTCCAATAATTGTTAATTATAGACACTCTTGATGTATGGTTTGCTATTTAAAAAATAAATAACGTTGGTGTTTTGGGCGTGATGAAGCCTGCTTTCCATTTGCTTCCAGTTAAAATTAAGCTTCTGGGTTTCCTCTAGGAAAGTACAAGTTACTGGTAACAGAAGAAAAGCATGATGGTTAAGGTCTTGAAATAGACAGTGACTAAATATACTTCACGCAATCATTGCAGTAGTGCATTGGTTGATGAGTGGGCTGATAATGCCGTCAAATAGTTACTAAATGGCACGTGCAGCCAATGCCAAGAAAAAAGACATTGGAGCTTGTTTCACCCTGAAAAAAGGCTCAACTTCCACTTTAAAGAATAAAGGTACATGTACATGTAGGTTATTTTCAGTGTGGGTATTTTCCTGGCTTTGTTTCAGTTGTTATCCAGTCTTCTGGAGGACTAAGTAAAGACGAAATTGAAAACATGGTTCGAGAAGCTGAGAAGTATGCTGACAGCGACAGACAAAAGAAAGTAAGTGGAAAGTGGGTACAGGTGCTTGACTGTAGAACAGCTGAATCTTGCATTGGTTATGAATGTGTGCATGTTCAGACAAAAGGTCTGAAGGGAGTGTAAAAATGAAGAGGAAAGCTAAAGAAATAACTTCCAGTGCACGTGAAGCTACAACGGCTCGTGCGCTCCGCACCATAAAATCCAAATTACATGTAGGGCTATTTTTTGTTTTCTCTGGAATAAGCCATTTCCGAGTTCCATAACTCCCACGTTCAAAGCCTCTCTAGTGAAAATGAGTGTTATTTGCAGTCTTTGCAGGAGAATAACAATTCATGACATTTTTATGTCAATGGCTTCATACTTAGCCTCGCTTTGAAACAGAGTCTTCGGGCAACTCGGTAATGGCGTTATTAAACTATAACATAAGAATGAAAAAAAAGCAAAGTGAGTTTTGATATCATAGTCAAATGTCTTGCCTGACCTGTTGCTTAAATATGGTTAAATGCATGCTAACTTATAATTATTCATCTAGCCTGCTCAACTATCTGAATGCGTGGAACAGGCTGATATTCATCTAGGAGTAGATCGTTGATAGCTTTCTTCAAAGGATCCGCTATCAGTATCTCTGTTACTTGTAATCACTACAAATTTGTCGCCATCTGTGTTTCTAGGAGCTGACAGAGGCAGTGAACCAGGCCGAGAGCATCATCCACGACACAGAAACGAAGATGGAAGAGTTCAAGGACCAGCTACCAACCGATGAGGTGAGATGCACTATACTTAGTTAATACTGAACTTGTAGCATTTGCATCTTGTGACCTTGATATACAAATTGAACTTTTGGAGCCCCGCAAAATTAGTAGAAATATGCAGGTTAGGGGCCAGAAGTCGGCCAGAAAATCACAGTTTAATATGTAATCTCGGTATAAACATTTGTAACCCCACATCATGCTTAGACAAAATACATTCAAGTACCAAAATGTAAAAGTCTGGCTCCAGTTGTGCTGGATAGCACGTTCCACTGGTAAACGTCTCAACGTAGTAGTAGTAGTTGTGCATTTTTGAGTTGTGCAGTTCTCCAGTTTATCTCTCCCACCCTTTGCAAACCTCCTAAGTCTGTCAACTCAGAACTGCTCAGTTTCCTTTTTTTTAGTCTTTCGGGTACAACATTCCACATGGTTTGGCAATGATTTATTATTAACCTGGGACCAGGCTCCGCTGTGGGGAAAAATGGCCAAAAAAACTGGAGTGAAACGGCATAAAGATTCGGCGATTTTTTTTGGCCTTTTTCCCCAACTACGGAGTAACTTTTAATGTATCAACCGGAATGTTACTAAAAGCAATAACTGTAAGTGAATTTGTACGAAGACGCAATTGTGGTAGAGTAAGACGCTAAAATTGACGAACATGTGTGTTATATCACAGAGTGCACAGCTTAAGGAAGAGATTAACAAGGTGCGCGAAGTGTTAGCAAGAAAAGACAGCGAAACAGCTGAGTCCATCCGACAAGTATATAGTGAGCTGCAACAGAAATCACTGAAGCTGTTTGAAGTAGCTTACAAGAAGGTAACAGTTCTTTTCCCCCATTGATTACCATTTTTGTTATAATGCCGTCCCTTGCCGGTCAACTTCACAACGTTGCCTAGCTCAGAGAGCTAGTATCCCCTTACGCGAGTTTATTATTGTGTAAGACTAAATGCTGTGCTTTATCGGTTCAGCACCCGCTTGTTCAACACTTAGGAATTTTGGCCAAAAACGCAGATAAAAGACGTAAAAAACATTTTAATACGAAAATGAAGATAGGCACTGTTCACAGCACGTCGCTGTGATAGTCTGTGCCAGTGACCCCCACCAACCACACTCCCACCTCCCCTCTCCCTTGTGTCTAGGTCTTACTGTGGGTGGTTGGAAAGGGTACGGAGGGGACGGCACGTCTCATGGGACCCATAGGTCCCTTTTGTGCCTGATCCCAATTGAGTAGGTCTGCGCCCAGTAAAACCCTGATAAGACAAGGCTAACTTGTATCAAGTCAAATGCCCTTAATTCATCAGCTGTAATTCAACTTTGCAGATGGCCTCTGAGAGAGAAGGAGGAGGAGCAAGTTCATCTTCAAGCAGCGAACAAACAGGAAG